GAAAGAGTTCTTGAAAATTTCCTTATAAATATATATATTCTATACTTGTTGAAAAATCGAGTAGTTTCTACTAGCGAAGGAACTATTGTCGGAACCGGACTTCAAAAGGTGGATACGATTAGAGGGAAGACGTTTGGATTCCTAAAGCGAGTAGCATCAAGGAGTTGACGTTATCAAACCGAGAATTGATTTCCTCAATCATCATCGATTTTGAAGGAGTTCAAGAACTAAGGTAATTTTCGAAATTACTTATAATAAATCAAAATTTATTATTATTACATGTGATTAAAGATGACGATCTGTTTATTTGACATATGTATGTACGAGTTATGTATTTAATTGTTAAATACATGTTTTTAAAAATTTTAAATTCCGCTGCGTATAGCTCGTACGTTACAGGCGAACCCAACAGGACGGTCGTTCTCGGGGCGGCGATTTTAATGGTGTGGGAGGTGAGATCGAAAAAAGATATTTATGTGTAAGGCTGTGATACCATGTTACAAACCCTAGGGTTTTGGACAATGATATATTCACAAGAGGAGGCTCCATATATATAGACTTAGGACATATGGGCTGTGGGCCTATAATATAACAGTTAACAGTCCTTACACGTAGGACACAATTGAAAGCATATGGCCGACTTAACATACGGTAACTAGAATGAGATTATGTAGATAATTAATACTGACAACAGCGCATATAGTTTAAGTATGCTTAGCACATTTTGAGCTACTAGATTATAAATTTGTTCTATTTACACCAGCTGAAATTTCATCAAGGGGCGATCAATCTTATTTTCTTAAAAAAAAAAAATATATATCTACTCGTTAAACTTCAGATAAAAGCATCACCTTAGAAAGTAATTTCATTAGAGGCCTCCACATGGGGAAAATGAAAAACAATGCAAGCAAAATAAGGAACATTCAATAAAAGAATCAATTGATAAAGTTAGTGTACCAAAAGCAAACATATTTCCATATTCTGATCCTAAATATTTGAGGAGAGCTTCCATTGCCACTCCAAACCCTCGGTCACCA